CCCAAATTTTGAGGGCATTTGCCGTCAAAACACCATTACATGCGTTGTAGTTGTTTTGAGTAGGGGATTTTGACTTCCCATTTCCTCATTGGACTATATCGATACCTGTTCTTCTGGAACACTAGTTCATCCATTTTGCGAAAGCCTTAATGTTCTTTCAGGTTACAGTCAAATGGCAGGTTCACTTGGAATCATTCGTCTGTACGAGTCGCTCGTCTAATGTTCCTTACTGCTTTTCCACGGGAGATGGCTTTGGAGCCAAACTTTTTGTTATCGTGAAGAGCGAATATGTTGTAACTCTTTCAGTGAATGACACGCGCAACCGAACTAGGGAAGTCTTGATTCTTAATCCCTTCTGTGAATGCCTTGTTTAGGCGTAATTGCTGTGGGTTAGCAAGTTTGCTTCTCAAATGGCTCGTTTGTTGAATAAGCCACAATTGCATTCTAGCATCCTTTTCAGCAAGACACTAACTTGCAAATGCTTCTCTAATCATGCATTTTGTCTCTGAGAGGAAACAGGTAAATGCAGCACTACCCACCTGTGTGTCTGCCTCACTTTTGCCTCAAACCTTTTGTTCTATTTTGTACTTGATGATCTGGTGCCGAGAAAGGATAATGACCGTCACCTTGCGGAATGTCAGTCCAAAGGCGCCTCTAATCTGCTTCTAAAAGGATGGAATAGGAATTTCGAAATTGACCGAGGGATCTGTGAACGGTTAAAGCCTATTAACTGTATAAATTAGGATTGATATCATATTGGGTGGTTCAGCCCATGGGCATCGCCTAAGCAGAGTCTACGATCAAAGTCAGCCGTCTGTGTGATCACAAGATTGTGTGTGGCTCCTGAATCTTTTAACTTGCTTATTATCATTAATTCAGGGGCCTGAAGATACTTCGACGTCTCAGGTCTAGCTGAAGGATAAATCGAGTAGCATTGTTTATACCGCAACATCAACAAGTAAATGATTTATCAGTGTTGAATAACTGACAGCCAGCCGATTGTGGAATCCAGTTGTCGAAGTGGGTGCTTCTGTCATTTGTGATCGAGAAGTTTAAGATGCCATTAAATGTCATAAAATGGCATAAGCCTGCTACCTCCAACATGCAATTTGATTGTTGTGCATGTCAGCAAACAACGTCCAGCATTCATTTCTGTTGCCGCCAAGTCTTTTGATACATAAACTTATATAATTGCTCTTCCTTCCTAGTCATAGCTAACTGTCTTCTGCCACCCTTACCTATTTTGAACCCACCTGGAAATCCCATGATTGCGCGCTGTTCCACGCAGCTAGTTGTGCGACAGTCAGCACCACCTTGAAACAAAGTGGTTTCAAAACTCCTTCCGGCTTTTTGCATTGCTTTTGTTGATTTTTCTAGTCAGTAGGCTTGGTAGCTCCGTTAGCCTCTTGCATTTCTTCATTCATTCGTCATTCGTAATCTTAGGAATTAAAGAATCACTTCTTATCACTGTATCTCATGGAAAACCCTATTTACTAACACGCCAATTGGTTGTGCTTGTGAGTGTGTGTCTGTATTTGTCACCCTGATATTGCAACGAGGTCTTTGTGCTCTTCTCTAATGCATTTTAACTCAGGATTGGAGGTTTGTTGATATGTTTGCATCTAAAAGAAGTAGTTGAACCGGTTAAAGCTAAGCAACTTGCGAGCAGTCTACGAGGCGGCTTTGAGTTTCCTAGAAAAATTTAAACTTCAGCAAGAATTTGTCTGAGTCCTATTTCTAGTGATGATTTACAGAATGTTGTCTGCCTTAGGGAATTAGAACTCTGCGAGTGCAAACGTGTTGCATCTGGAGGAATCGGTACTCCTCACAAAAGTCGAGTCTTCTATCAAAAATGTTCAGCGTTGGGGTTCGGCCATTCCTGTGGCAGAACGCACAGACGCAGCCACCGTTTGGGATGTTGGAAATACTCGTCCTGTACCCACTTTTGCCATTGAGACGGTTCAACTGTACAACGGGGTTACCATGTCGCCTATGTAAGTGTTTTTTGTTCTCTTTTTCGACCCTCTCTCTGATTGAAGTAGCGCTACTGATTACTGGCTCTCATGCTCCTCATCACAGTTGTTTGAGTGTCACGCCCACTTACCTATGGCATGTGTACCTTAGTGATTTAAACCCTTTAGGTTTGTACGATCTCGTTGTTCGAAAGGAATGTTTTTTTTGTTTTTAAAGAACAAAATTAGTGTATGAGAATTAAGTTTCTGGTTTGTGAGTGGCAATTAAACAGGTTTAAACAATTACCCTCCATTAGTGTGATTAGTTAAACAATGCAATTACCAAGGTGTCAAAATGAATTTTCTGTCTGACCTACAAATCGTTGTTGCGAACTTATTAATCAATGCTTCTGCAGCCACTACCGTGGGTAATGCTATTCGCTTCCTTTGGAACAAACTTACCAGAACCCAGGCCCTGTTTGCTGGGTTTCTTTTTATTTGATCTCGTGACCACGGGTGGCTCATCGAGCATGTCCAAATAAACGTCTTAAATTTATCCAGTCGAAGATATTGAACCTTAGGTTGCGGTATTTGATTTTTTGGCTTCCTAACTATTTGAGTGCATAATGAATCGCTAGCCTAATCAAAAACCTAGGTTTTTTTGTTGCGGTGCCTCGGGTTCCCTTAACTTGTTGACTGCTGCCTCAGTGAAGGATAGTTTGTGATGGGTTG